TCCCCCCCCCTCTCCCTCCCCCCAAAGCGATCATTAATAATCCTTCGATGGTGTTCACGATATATTCTCATGCATTTAGCTTTAGAATGAAGATTTCAAATCCAGATTGGGCACAATTTAATGAGGTGTCGAAGCACCAATTGGCGCGCTTTGCCATCTCCACTCCCTCATAATTCTCATGTTTGTATAGAATCGCGTGCCACGCATGTGGTAATCAACACGCCCGCTGCGTTTTAATTAATTTCCACGTAATTAAAGGGATGCAAGCCATTCGCAGCTCGTACGTGCTGAACTTCACGAGTGATTTTTTGGGATGAGGTGGCTGCTGTTTTTTTTTTTTATTCTCTCAACGAACCTAACTGTTATTTACCCCTGTTTCTGGGGGCTCGGGGGACCACGGTGGCCTGCAGGCAGGAGTGAACCGTATAATGAAGCTGGGAATTGATGAAAAGGGAATAAGTTACGGGTTTAAATGTTTTTTTCGTGGGGGATTAGATTGAATGAATGTTCCTTATTGATTGGATAGTCGGGGGGAGCTTCAGGAATTTTCTTTGACTAGTGAATTCAACAAATAACTTTTTTGGGGGAGTGTTTGATGAAATTAGAGAATTCTTTGGACTTGGAGAACTTTATTTGAAAGTTCTCGATTCAGTGCAATAATTCATTCGGTTTTTAAGGCATTGAGAGAAAAAATTAGCTGGGCCGAAAAATCATGCAGGTTTACTTGAGGGAAATTAATCAACTTGATGGAAGGAAATTTAATATCGTTCGCAAAAATTAATTTTTTGTGGTAATAAATGTAAAACATTTTGAAATTCTTAACAATCACTCATTCACACGAAATTTTCATGTATTTAATATTTGTAGTATTCAATGGAACTGCCATTTTCAGATCCACATTGTCAAGTTTTAGTAGAAGCTTTCATTTTTGTCCACAAGTAAATTAAAAGTTGAAGTGAAATTTAAATAAAAACTCTCTCAGGAATTACTTCAATGACCTCATATATTCAATTCAAATGAATAATTTCTCTGAATGTCTGAAAAATTTCGGAATATTCTCCCTGACCGATCGAAAATAGAATATATTCATTGCAGATATTGGCGCAGTGTCACCAAAAAACGTAGAAATTCCCAGAAAAAAAAAACCTCCCGATTTCGCCGGAGATATTTATCGAGTCGGCGGTCACGAAGGAAGTGGAAGAAAGGTTTTTTGGACAGTTCCCTACGGTTTCCGGCACTTGGAATCCCGCCAATTTCGTTTGCCATATCTTTTTTTCCTCGCCTTTCCCCTGAAAAAAAGCCACGAAGAAAACTTACGCACGATCGAGTTCACGCTTGGACTAGCACTTCTGCCAAAAAATGTGTGCAGAGTTCTGATAAATGTAGAAATAGCAAAACTCATTTGGCTGAAAGTTATTTCCACTCTGACGCATTTCATTGGACTCTGAAAATTCAGTGGGTTTGATGTTGGTGGAAATCATTTGTAAAATTATTCGAGTGATTTTTTTTTCAACTGTATTCATTGCACACAGGGATTGGCACATATCATCCCCTTACGATTCTAGGGCATGCCCATTGGCTCACAACTTTCACGGTTGAAATCCGATATCCGGTGCCAAGTGACACTGCTCTCCGGACGTAGTTGAGAGAATGCACCTGATGAGAAATCGGTTATCGAGTCACTCGATGTTTGACCCTTTTACCAGGGTATGGCGAAGGTCATCTCAAAGTAGAATGCAATGTTATTGTTGTTCGTGACATGGAAACGTTCGCTGGAAAGAAATTGCTGAAATTCAAACAATTCTTGAGGTAAATGTCCATGTGGACGTTCAGATATGACATTTCAGGCGTTTTGACAGTCCTAGGAATATTTTGAGAGCGAAATATAATTGGGAATTGCTTAAGAATTTAAGGGATTTACCATTTTCAAATGGTGATATCGAAGTTGTAATAATAGAATGAGATTAAAATTTCTTTGAGTGAGGGATTCAATTATTTGAATGAGGGATATTTTATTGAGACGTTCGGCGATTAGAAGAATAGATTGATTGATGTTAATTAACTGTATATTATGCTGTACAAATAAATCATTACATAAATCATATGCAGGAAACAGCAACAAAAGCGATAAATCATGGAATTACCATAAGTAACTTGAGCATAACTACACACAATGAGTTAAATAAAGCAAAAGAACAAGCAAGGAACATCAGAAAATTGAAAATAAAAATAATACGTGAAAATGAAAGTAAAACAATGAAATAAATTTATTGCGGGGGCTCACAGTAAATGAGAGTAAAGCTG